CTTGCTTCTTTTTCCAGCTGCTTCACACACATTTTCTTTGTATTCCATCTTTGCTCTTTTACATTCATTTCATGTATCTATAACCACTATGTCACATTTTCTTTGTATTCCATCTTTGCTCCTTTGCATTCATTTCATGTATCTATAACCAATACATCAGCTATTATTGTTGGGCCGTGGTGGCACGGGCACCACCTGCCTAGTGTATAAGAGAAGGCAGTAGTTGTGATCATACAATAGGAGTGCCATTAAATGGAGTTTAATACCGTTTGCATGATACTTGGAATAATTTTTCACCAACAATTTTATCTCGGAAGAAAAATCCTCGTCCTTGATTTGGTTTGACTTGACTACTTTTATGGTCCACGTAAAGGAAAAGGAAATAAGACCATACATACTCTTCATTCGACCAATCAATGAAAGCAATTTTTTAAGGGAAGAAATGTTTTCTTCTTCCAGTTCCACATAACATCAATATTAAATATGGAGTACTTTTGAATTCAGCTGGTACAAAATCATTGATTATGCTTTTTGCTGGGAGCAGCAAGGCAACACATCATCTTTTTTATCTTTATGTTGTATGTTGTTATGCGGGGGTGGGGGAAATTAAAGTGGAGTGGTTGTCCAACCGAGTAATCTTAGGTAGTTATTACTATTAATTATTAAGGGGAAGTTCCTCTATACTCAAGTATTCTCATTCTCCTCATCCATCCATCCATCTCCCACCGTCCATTCCACCTCCCTACATAATCTACTATACTATATATGAGTGCTTTTTAATGCTGGGTTGGCCATTTTGGCTTTTCTTTGCTATTACTTGAGGATTAAACTTCACTTTCTTCTCAGCTGGGCTGGCTACCCTTTACAATCATGCATGATATGATATATCACAAGTTCATTTTCAACTACTCACCACTTGGTTCCCAGCCTCTCCCTTCATTCAATATTCTCCGGCCTTGTGCATCATCATGAATTTAAAGTGGTTTCTGTTTGTATTCCTCTGCTTTATTGGACAATCTTCAGAAGAAGCTGATGAGGTGAAAATCGGAGCCATCTTTTCGTTTGGCACCACAAACGGCAAAGTTGCCAAAATCGCCATGGAAGCTGCTGTTCAAGACGTTAATTCTGATCCCTCACTTCTCGGTGGAAGAAAACTTGCTCTCACCCTGCATGATTCAAACTACAGCGGATTCCTAGGGATCATTGGAGGTATCTTTTCATAATATTCTAATTCTTCTTTTATTATCATACTATATATCATACAATCAATCACAGTACTCTTCTTTATTTATTTATCTATCAGCATTACAATTCATGGAGACCGATACTGTAGCTGTAATTGGCCCTCAAAGTTCTGTGATTGCCCATGTACTCTCTCACCTTGTCAACCAACTCCATGTCCCCCTCCTATCTTTCACGGCATTGGACCCAACACTATCACCTCTACAGTACCCCTACTTCATTCAGACAGCTCCCAACGATCTTTTTCTAATGACTGCTGTAGCAGATATGATTAGTTATTTTCAATACAGAGAAGTCGTTGCTATTTTCTCAGACGATGATCAAGGTAAAAATAGTATTACCGCTCTAGGTGATAAACTTGCTGAGAGGCGCTGTAAGATATCATACAAGGCAATACTTCCCCCTGAACCTATATCTAGTCGTGACCTGATCGTGGACCAGTTGGTTAAGGTCACATCAATGGAATCTCGAGTTATTGTTCTACATACATTATCCATAACAGGTCTCAAGGTCTTTGAGATTGCCCATGACCTTGGCATGATGACTAGTGAATATGTTTGGATAGCTACTTCTTGGCTTTCCAGTACCCTCGATTCAACTTCAGTTTCACCAAAGGTGGCTACCTCTATGCAAGGTGCTCTCACCCTTCGCTCCCACACACCTGATTCCCCAAAGAAGAGGGCTTTTTTATCAAGGTGGAACAAGTTGAGCAATGGCTCCATAGCTTTGAATGTTTATGGTCTATATGCCTACGATACTGTTTGGATGATTGCCCATGCAGTCAAAGAGATTTTCGATAATGGAGGCAAAATCACCTACTCGAATGATTCCAATTTGAACAGTTTTGCTGGAAAGACAATGAATCTTGCTGCTCTCAGCATATTTGATGGTGGTAACCAACTGCTTAGTAACATATTAAAGACCAATATGACTGGGGTAAGTGGTCCCATTGCATTTAACCCAGATAGATCCATGCCCCGTCCCTCATTTGATGTTCTCAATGTAGCTGGCAAAGGATTGATGAGGCAAATAGGATACTGGTGTAACTACTCTGGGCTATCCGTTGTGCCTCCGGAATCTCTTTATGCCAAACCAGCAAACAGGTCAAGTTCCACTCAACGATTGGATCAGGTTATATGGCCAGGGCAAACTACAAAAAGACCACGTGGATGGATATTTCCCGACAATGGTAGGCCATTAAGGATTGGAGTCCCAAGGAGAGTGAGCTACAAAGCTTTTGTTTCAGAAGAAGAAGGAAGTGGAGTGGTCCATGGATACAGCATAGATGTCTTCCTTGCAGCCTTAAAGTGTCTTCCATACCCTGTGCCACATAAATTCATCATGTTTGGTGACGGACACAAAAATCCAAGCTACAGTCAGTTAGTAAACATGATCACAGTTGATGTGAGTTCCAATACAAGTATATTCACGCTATGCATTTTTAACAATCAATGTAACATTGTTTTTCTTATTCCATGATAGGTATTTGATGCTGCAGTGGGTGACATTACAATTGTAACGAACCGCACAAAGATTTTGGATTTTAGTCAACCATACGCAGATTCAGGGTTAGTGGTGGTGGTACATGTGAAGAAGACAAGATCGATTGCTTGGGCTTTCCTGCGGCCATTTACTCCCCTTATGTGGGGAGTCATAGCTGCTTTTTGCCTTGTTGTGGGAACCGTAGTGTGGATACTAGAGCACAAATTTAATGATGAATTTCGTGGCCCGCCCAAGAAGCAGATGGTCACAATTTTATGGTGAGTTGATGCCTTCCTGTTAGGTACTTATTGGGAAGTTAATACTACTGTTTTAAGTACTAGGATCCTATCCAAAAAGCTACGGAGAGCAGTGTTTTGATTTGATTTCTTGCGTTTCCTTTATGTTCCAGCCTCATAATATGCATATTTCTCTTTGGGATTTTGAACTCATCTCCTTGTATGTCATGTTTCGTTTGCAGGTTTAGTTTCTCAACTATTTTTGGAGCCCCAAGTGAGTATCTAGTTTCTCTTTTTCCAAAAGTCAAGATAATTTTGTAGTGTTAACTTTTGGCATAATGGATCAGTCGTAAAAAACTTTCAGGAGAAAACACAGTGAGCACATTGGGTCGAATTGTACTGCTTATATGGCTATTCGTAATCTTGATAATTACGTCGAGCTATACTGCAAGCCTGACATCGTTTCTAACGGTTCAACAGCTTTCCTCATCTATACAAGGAATTGAATCATTGGTAACAAGCAATGATGCAATTGGGTACCAGGTAGGCTCTTTTGCTGAGAACTACTTATTTGAAGAAGTTAACATTGCAAAGTCTAGGCTCGTTCCTCTTGGATCACCAGAAGAATATGCTGATGCCCTTGAACAAGGAAGAGTTGCTGCTGTGGTTGATGAACGTCCATATGTGGATCTGTTTTTATCAACTTACTGCGGGTTCCAAAAAGTTGGCCTAGAGTTCACCAAAAGTGGATGGGGATTTGTAAGAATTTCCTTACTCATAGATTTTACTAAAACACTTTTTATTTAGTTAAGTAATATTACATGGACATGAGTGGAAAAATGAATGAAATGATTTATCCAAAAAGCTAGTCATGTAACATAAGCTGACACCTTGATCCAATTAATTAATAGGCATTTCCGAGAGACTCCCCCTTAGCCATTGACATGTCAACGGCAATCTTGCAATTGTCTGAGAATGGAGAGCTAGAGAAGATCCGCAAGAAGTGGTTAAACAGAAAAGTCTGTGGGGGGCAGAGCTCTGCAGCAGATTCAGAGCAGCTTCCATTAAAGAGCTTTTGGGGTTTATTCCTCATTTCTGGAGTTACCTGCTGTTTTGCTCTGCTTGTATATTTCTGCTTGATGTTGCACCAGTTCAAACAACATTTTCCTGAATTAACACATGGTTCTACTAGTAGAACTATAATATCACATTCGGTAAGGCTTAAAAAGTTCTTGTCTTATGCGGATGAGAAGGCAGAGATATCTGCAAATAGGTTGAAAAGAAAGCGGATGGAAATGGAAAACCCTTAATTCCATTACCTTTCTCATTTCGAATTTTTGTACATTCAAATTATTATTTTTATCATGTAACAACAGATAGTGTAGAGAACATCTAATGTTTGAAGAATTATCCAATCAGTTTGTAGCTTAATACAATTAAGAGGTTAAGTTTTGGGCTACTGATGTACAACTCCATAAGAGTACGGATGAATGATGTTACCTAGAGAGAGAATGCAATATCGTGTATGGACCAAATTGTTACACCCTTAGGGTTGCCAAAGGGTTAGTTAGTAGAGCTCGTTTTCGTCTACTCTCAATTATATGACCCTTAACATTGAATGTTTTCCAAATTTGTAAAGGAAACTGAGGAAAAAAGCTATATTTACCATACCTGGCACTTAGCAAGCTCATTAGCCATACTTTTCGGAGTTATGACTGGACTTGTTCACCGGGATGATAGGGACTGACACCAATCAACATTTCAGGTCTAGTTACCTTGAGTTGGTGCACAAATTTTAACAGATGGTAAAAAAATCTTCTTGTTTAAAATGTTTGCTATCCATAAATAATTGGTTTGATCAAAGATTAATGGACCAGTATATATAGAGAGAGAAAGATTGAAGGTATAAGAAATGAGTAAAGAAAGTAGAAGGAGATTGAGTACCTTCCAAATGTTAGCACCTTATCTTGTGGGAGAGAAATTTAAGAGTATTGAATTTTTAACTTTGATGTTGGCAGTCTGGCATCAACAAAATAGTTGTTGCAATGGCCGTATTATGTCAGTCTCCCCTGAATTTGAAGCTCATCACCTCTTCCTCCTCCTCCTCACGGAATCGCACTGCCAATCCCTCCTTCAGATTAAATCTCTCCGCTCACTCCCGCAGTGAGCCCTCACCCGTTTTCACCTCTGTCAAGTCCTTTGCTCCAGCCACCGTTGCCAATCTCGGCCCTGGTTTCGACTTCCTTGGCTGCGCTGTCGACGGCATCGGCGACTTCGTCACTCTCCGCCTTGACCCCAACGTCCACCCTGGCGAGGTCACTATTTCTGACATATCCGGCGCCGGAAAGAAGCTCAGAAGAAACCCTCGCTGGAATTGCGCTGGCATCGCCGCCATCTCTGTCATGAAGATGCTCAACATTCGATCGGTGGGCCTTACTCTCTCCCTTCACAAGGGCTTGCCCTTGGGCAGTGGTCTCGGGTCCAGCGCCGCTAGTGCAGCTGCTGCTGCCGTGGCTGTCAACGAGCTTTTTGGCCGCCCACTGACCCTGACTGACCTCGTGCTTGCTGGGTTAGATTCGGAATCCAAGGTCTCCGGTTACCATGCAGACAATGTGGCACCTGCTATTATGGGGGGTTTCGTATTGATCCGGAGTTACCATCCTCTTGAATTAATTCAGTTGAACTTTCCTCATGAAAAGGACCTCTTCTTTGTGCTGGCGAATCCAGAATTTGAGGCCCCAACAAAGAAAATGAGGGAGGCACTGCCGCAAGAGATAACCATGTCCCATCACATTTGGAACTGTAGTCAGGCAGGTGCATTGGTGGCGTCCGTGCTGCTGGGAGACGTGTCTGGTTTTGGTAAGGCATTGTCCTCCGATAATATAGTGGAGCCAAGGAGAACACCACTAATTCCAGGAATGGAGGGAGTGAAGAAGGCAGCAATGGAAGCAGGGGCTTTTGGCTGCACCATTAGCGGAGCTGGGCCCACAGCAGTAGCGGTGACTGACAATGAGGAGACAGGGAGAGAGATTGGGCAAAGAATGGTAGAGGCTTTTCTGGAACATGGCAAGCTGAAGGCCTTGGCAATGGTAAAGAAGCTCGACCGTATTGGTGCCAGGCTTGTCAGTAGCCAACCCATATGATTTCTGCACTAATTGTCAAGCTGTTTGTTCCCATATGCTTAGGGATTGTGATCGTCAGAGACTGATCATTTCGCTGCTTGAACTGCCAAATAATGGAACAACTCCATGTTGTATTTGTGCCGCTTTCGGCAAATTGTGACATTAGCAGGAAAAAGGGGCATTGCGTGATGCCTCAAGTGCTGTTTGGTTGTCATGCAAGCAAGAAGAGTGAATGCTATCAACTCATCTAAAAGTAGAATCTGCATTATCTTAGTAAAATTATATACTAGCATTCATTTTGCTTTAAGGCATCTTTCCTATCCATGCAACATCTGCTAACTTTGAAGAATCTTATTGAACTTCCATTTGCCTCAACTCTGATTTTGTTCATATTTGAGCTACACTGCACTAGATAGAACAGCTGCAAACCTTCCGCACTAGTAATAGTATTCCTTCTTTTTTTCTTTCCTCAACATACCTCACAAAAGAGGTGACGAATGCATTTGGACATGAATTGGTTACTACTTTTTTTTAAATTAAAGAATAGTTTTAAGACAAGTTGAAAAAGAGTAGAGTATGAACATGATAACATAGTTGAATTTTACTGGTTAAACTTGAAAAACTCAGTAAGAAATTGTTCTTCAAACTTTAAATCTCATAGTTCCAAGTTTGACGTTGAAATAATGAGCAATTTGATAAACAAATACTTATTTGAAATAACAATCTCCCGATATGTGGTGCAAGGAACTGAGGACATCCAATGCAAAACTGTCAGGCCAACCGATCAAGGAGATAACAGTGATTAATGGACCTTTGCGATTCATAAGTTTTTTCGCTTAATCACCATAAGTAATACTTAAAACAAAGCTAACACCTTTGCAGCATTTCAGCAGAGCTTTACACAAGCATGAACACTAATCAACTGACCAATACTCAAACCAAACATGGATAACTGGACATAGAAATGTGGAAACTACAGTTGCAATCGACAGGATACGGGTCTTATAACTCATTTAAAAAATATTTTTACTGTTTCTACACAACTCATAAAACTGAATAGCAAACACCACTTTATCAGAGAATGGAACCTTAAAACAAAAGCAACTTCAAGGCAACATGTTGTCAAACGGTCAACATTAGTTGTTACCAGCAGCAGCAGCCTGCTTTGCACCAAGAGCAAAGAACTCCGAGATCACTTCAAGAGGCATCCCCTTGGTTTCAGGCACTTTCAAGAAAACAAATATCCATGATATAACGCAGACGATAGCATATATGCCAAATACACCAGCAAGACCAATAGAAGACAGCATGACAGGTAGTGTGTAGATAACAATAATATCCCCAATCCAGAACACTAGGGCACATATGGCAATGCATATTCCTCGGATCCGAGTTGGAAATATCTCTGAACAGAGTATGTTGGGAATGGGCCCGAACCCCATAACAAATGAGCAGAAGTACAAAACAACACAGACTGTGGATATAGCAGCCTTTGCAACAGTCCCCATAGTCACTAAACTTCCAATGACCAAAACAATGAGGGCTATTATTAAGATTGGAATTGTGCCTAGCAGCAGACTCCTGCAATACAACAATACACAGAAAGGCAAGGGTAGTAATCAGATTTGCAGGACTGGAACATAAGGACAATAGAGCATCCACTCACTTCTTATTCAGCCTTAAGCACAAGTAACCATTCAATGCTAAAATCTACTATACATACGAGGGAAAAAAAGGATGCTAAGGTCTATTCAGTGACAAGCACTGTGGAGGAGAAGTTTATACATTTGCCAAAGCAAAACGTACAAACAAAGATGTATGAGAGAGCTCGTCTTAAAATGTGCCGGAACGCTTCCGAGAGGCAATGAAACTTGCTTGTACTCTAGTACTCTAACTTGAAGCAGGTCAGACAGCAAAATTGAAGGGATTTGAATCCTTCTCCCCTCATGAGAGGACTATAATTTAGTGCATTGGAAGGTTCTTTTTCCTTATATGCTCAGACCCTGGTTTGAATGGGAAGCCTCCCACTAAATCCTGCTACCATTATATTTTTCCAGTGCTAACAATGGCAAAGCACACCCAGCCTTCCATCTATTAAAGCAGAATTTTTGCTATATCTCCATCACTCCATCTCGATCTAGCAAACAGTCTAATGCAGTGGAGATGCATTGAATCCAAATTCTAGGCACGTTTATTGACGCACGGCTTAGACCTTTAAAGAGAGAAGGGGGTGAAGAGAAACACCTCACAATTGGAGATGAGAAATCAAACCAAAATACTATGAGCCATTTGGACAAGGCACTAAAGAGTTAGGAGGAGAAGTGAGTGAATTGGGAGGTTAGTTAAAGAAGCATCGTATGAAAAACATCATATTCACTTTTTCCATAGTAGTTACTCAAAAGGAAGTTACCTCCTGCCAGAGATATCCATAAGCCTCATGGCAACGGCTATAGAAGGGAGCATTAAGAAATTTGTGATTGCACTTATCAGCAGAGATGCAGAAGAAGAACTGATGCCTAAGTTTGACAAGAGAACTCCCACACCTGCTTGCTCAAGTATTTGCGGAGTGTAGTACATAACTCCATTAATTCCTGAGAACTGCATGAATAACAACTCCACGTAAGAATGCTTCAAAGAAAAGCAGACACTATTTTGATATAGCATAGATCACCATATTTTGTCCTATTAACCAAGCTAACAGTAGCATTCTTTTCAAGGATGCCAAACCAAGATGTGAAAAAGAAAAATCAGGAAGATATTAGAAGTAGGAATATCTTTAAATTAGTGTCTTTTCAGTATATATTTGGAGGTTAAATTATGGCACAAAAGAAATATCTAAGTCCGAGGCCATAAAGGACATTGGTCTAGCAGTACAAGCAGCGTTTGCAAATATTCATATATCAGCAACCAGCATGAAATATAAGGACACTCCCTATTATCGGCAAATGAATATACCATGTCTACTCGAAATTTCTACGTCACTTTTTACACACAAATAGTGTTATTTCAGTATTTAATTGGAGGTTAAATTAAGTTATAATCTTGACCACCAGGTATAAAGGAAATATTTAAATCTGAGGCTATAAAGGGCAATGGTCTAGCACTGCTAGCAGCACATGTAAGTATTTCATATATCAACAACCAGCATGAAGCATAGGGATACTCCCTCTCTTCAGATAATGAATATATCATGCCTGCCTGAAATTTCTCCATCAATTCTTCTACAAATATCAAAAAAGGAAAAGATAAATAGGCATGTCTTATTCAATTATAATGTAACCAACGAATCACTGCTATTATATTTCGGTCATGCTACCTTACAAAAACTGACACCATTGAACATCACTTTGCATTGACTGAATTCTAACCAATATTCATCTCTGTGAACACTGACCATACATCGCCCTATTTTTATTTTTATTTTTATTTTGATGACACATCGCCCTATTAGTTATCCAGTTATTTTATTTTTTTGGTTCCCACGATCTATAAGAAATGCTCAAGATATATCATGACTGATCACAACTTATCCATGTCATCCCTTGAATAAGATTCAATTCAAGATGGAGAGTCTAATCTCTTATGATTCTGCAGAGAAATTTTCCCAAATTCCTAATCTATCAACAGAAATTTAGGTCGAAGATGGGAAGACAGATCCAAATAACAAGGTTGGGAAAGAATCTATGTACTACATGTGAGAAATATATGGGAAAAATAATATTGAATTGTGTATCTAAATAATTACATTGAGACCCTATTTATAGATACTACATTGGAATCCTTTTCCAACTAGGATTCCTATTCTTATTCCTATTCTATTCCTATTCCTATTCTAAGTAGGAAATACTTATTTCTATTCTAACACTCCCCCTCAAGCTGGTGCATACAAATCATATGTACCTAGCTTGTTACAGATGTAATTAATACGAGGACATGTGAGGGACTTGGTGAAGATATCTGCAAGCTGATCATTTGACTTCACAAATTTCGTAACAATATCTCCCGAGAGTATCTTTTCTCTGACAAAGTGACAGTCAATCTCAATGTGCTTAGTCCTTTCATGAAACACTGGATTTGATGCGATATGAAGAGCCGTTTGATTATCACACACAAGTTCCATCTGATCAATTTTGCCAAATTTTAGTTCTCCCAGCAACTGTTTGATCCAAACTAGCTCACAAGTTGCTGTCGCCATTGCTCGATATTCTGATTCTGCACTAGATCGAGCAACCACATTCTGTTTCTTACTCTTCCACGACACCAAATTACCTCCTACTAAAACGCAATATCCGGATGTCGAACGTCTGTCAGAGGGTGATCCTGCCCAATCAGCGTCTGTATATCCAATGATATGCTCATGGCCTTGATCCTCAAAGAGTAGTCCTTTACCGGGAGCTGACTTTATATATCGCAGAATACAAACAACTGCTTCCCAATGACTATCACACGGGGAAGTCATAAACTGACTTACAACACTTACAGGAAAAGAGATGTCAGGTCTAGTCACTGTGAGATAATTCAACTTTCCAACAAGCCGTCTATACCTTTCAGGATTACTAAGTGGCTCCCCCTGTCCTGGAAGGAGCTTAACATTCGGATCCATAGGAGTGTCAATAGGTCTACATCCCATCATTCCTGTCTCCTCAAGAATGTCTAAGGCATACTTGCGTTGAGAAATAACAATACCTGATCTCGACTGAGCAACCTCAATACCTAGAAAATACTTCAATCTGCCAAGGTCTTTAGTCTGGAAGTGCTTAAAGAGATGTTGCTTCAAATTGGTGATACCATCTTGATCATTACCAGTGATAACAATATCATCAACGTAAACAACCAAATAGATATATAGACTTGGTGCAGAATGACGATAAAACACAGAGTGATCAGCTCCACTACGAGTCATGCCAAACTCCTGAATTACTGTGCTGAACTTCCCAAACCAAGCTCGAGGAGACTGTTTTAGACCATAGAGTGACCTACGCAATCGACATACAAGGCTACTAGACTCCCCCTGAGCAACA